TCAAGCATTCCCACTAAATAGTCGAAGAGAGCGAGTTACTGTTGAAAAAAGAGTGAGCCATTGAGTTACAAACTTGTCTAAAACTCGTACGAATTCCATATCAATTTGAGTATTGTACTTACACAAGACTTGAAGTCCAACATTAAGGGTATGGTGCTCAAAATGAAAATTAAATTACATGCATTTCCATTTATCCAAAAGAAATTAAAATAAAAAATGAAATTGTGGCAAGAGGGATTCCGATTGATCGTCCTTCCAGACACGGTGTGCACCTGACTGACCCAATTGTTTGAGTCGCTCTATTCCAAATTCCCATAATCACAGGCCCACATGGCGCAAACCGGGGTCTCCCTTCCTCGTCACCTTCGTAAATGTCCAGTTTGTTGCATTAAAATAATAAATGTCAGCAATTATGCCATTATTTCAGCGTAAAACGGGGGAAACGCTCTTGTAAAAACATTGACTCAAATTCGTTCAAATGTTTTTTGGACCTATTCGAATTCACTGATTTGCATGTAAGAAGAGAATAGAAAACTGTAATAGCTAATTGTGTTCTACATTGTTAAAGTAACTATTTGAAGGTTATTTTTATCAGTCGATTTTAAAAATAAGTTATATACACTGCGAATTAGTATGAAACTGGCTTGGACATTGATGATAGTGAAAGATGGGTAACCACTAATTGCTTCCACGACGTTAAGTTGATGCTTGAATATTGAATCTATAACCACTCGAGCAGTAATCCCTCGCAAACCAGTTTTACGATGAGTTAGTTCTACCCACTTGTTTTAAAATCTTAGTGTGAATAAATTTGATGATCATCTTCAAGAAAGTAATGGGATAAACATGAAAGAATGCGTTCTTCTAAGTTTATGGCCATATTTCTTAGAGTCATAAACAAGAATTCAGGTTGAGATAAAGAGCATAAGGAAGAATTGTGTGGGGGTGAATGGCAGGATGAGGCAATGACTATTAATTTTAGATACTACTATATACTATAAGATCCGACCAACCAACTCAATCAAAAAAAAATCGATAATTGGTCCGAAATATGATCTAATTACATATAAAAAAAAAAAATAATAACATGAAGGGGTGTATGTTTCTTAATTAAATCACTTGATAGCATATTTTGATAATAATTAAACATAGTACAAACTTATAAAAGAGAAAAACTAACATGTCCCTAGAGTTGGAGAACAATGTAAAAGCCCAAAAAATAATCTTCCCATGACCTAGTCATACTTCTTGTGATGATACACATAGTTTACTGTCTATTCAATCCTTGATTCCTTTCATACTCACTTCTTGAAAAGAATTGAATAAATTCATTATGGAACTTAAACTTCGAGAACTCCATAACCTTGTCACATACAAAAGTTTCATTGATATCTTATCCTCGAAATATGTTTATCACTTATTTTCATGTCATATCCCATATTGCTCAAAGAATTAATGCTATGTACTACCCCCATTCTATATTGCATATATTGGTGTTTTATTTAACTCTTCATTTAATGCCACATAGATTGATATTTTAACACAATTGTTGTTGTATATATAGCATAACTCTTGCTCGAATGATGATCAATTAAATGTTGACTTGTGCACCTGCTTCAACAATACCGTAAAACCATCATCCACACGCTGCTTAGGAGCACTAGATTTTAGAATCTATTTATTCTCGACCTTCATTTAAGCAAGCTAATATTGATTGAAACTCAAACTTTTAAGTCGATCCACTGATGACACTTTAATTAAGAGATTTTGAAAACCTGTGTCCTCTTAGTTGTAGTAAGGAAAATGTCGAAGTGTCTGAATTTTGGTGACCGACCCTCACATGGAGCGTAGACCCCACGTGAATAAAATAATGCCCGACCCTCGAGGTATGAGTGTTCGATTATCCCGTGTGTCAACCATTATGTTTGTGTAGCATGGTCTTTATAGTAATCTTAGACCAGGTTGGGGCAAGAGACAAAGGAGAGAGAAAGAGGGTCCCATACCCACCGCCCATGAGCCATGGGCACGCTGTCTCACCAAATTAAAGCCTCTCTCCCCTTCCCATCCATTCAAATGAATTCCCCCTATTGACCTAACCCTAACCCAAACACCACTTAGCTACTAAGCTTCCCTATCATAAAAAGGATAAAACTCATTTTACATACTGTATATCTACTCTCTCTCCTCTCCTCTCTCTTCACTCTTCCATAACCTCACCAACAGCAACACGCCGAACTTAACAAGAAGAATATACAGTTATCGCGTGAGGCTAGTGGGATAAGTCATGGTTAGTCCAGCTCAATTTTTGGTGAATTCTTCCGCAATTTCTTTCCACCTCTTCTCTGGTGAGGGTTAGTACAATTTGATTCATAAAATTACCTAGAAAATTCATCAAATTTGTCCATCTTTGTAGAAGCTAATAGATTTTCAAATAAACAAGTGAAGCCATGGATCAACTAACAGCTCAGGGCCGTTCTTTGCCGCCTCCCTTTCACGGTAGAGATCTTCAACTCCACCACCACCAGTTTCAGCACCACCAGCACCAACAGAATCCCGAAGATGAAAAGAGTGGAAATAGCAATCCCAACAGGAACCCGAAGCGAGATCCCGATGAGAATTATGGTGTTTCCACCACCACTACCACCACAAGTTCCAACACACACCCAACCGGAGGCAAAGATCTAGTGCCTATCTATGGGGAAGGAGAGGTTACAAGAAGACCTAGAGGAAGACCCGCTGGTTCCAAGAACAGGCCCAAACCCCCAATCATAATCACTCGAGATAGTGCAAACGCACTAAAATCTCAAGTCATGGAAGTTGCCAATGGTTGTGATATTCAAGACTGTATATCCACTTTTGCCACAAGGCGGCAAAGAGGGGTTTGCATCTTGAGCGGCAGTGGTACCGTCACTAATGTTACTATAAGGCAACAAGCTGCACCAGGAGCAGTAGTGACCTTAAATGGAAGATTCGAAATTCTGTCCCTCTCAGGTTCGTTTTTGCCACCTCCAGCTCCTCCTGTTGCTTCAGGATTAACCATATATTTAGCCGGAGGGCAAGGCCAAGTTGTTGGTGGCAGCGTGGTGGGGCCTCTTCTCGCTTCTGGGCCTGTGGTGATTATGGCAGCGACATTTGGTAATGCAGCATATGAGAGGCTTCCTCTAGAGGATGAAGAATTGCCGGTGCCTGGAAGCGGCCCCCCTGGATCACCGGGAATTGTTGGCCAACAACAACAGCAAGGGCAGCAGCAGCCACCACAACTTATGGCTGATCCTAATTCAAATCTTTTTCATGGGATGCCACCAAATCTAATAAATTCATGCCAGTTACCAGCTGAGGCCTACTGGGGGACAGGTCGTCCTCCCTTCTAACGAAATAAAAAACCAGGATCCCTGAGTTTCGCTTGACATGATTTCACTTCAAAATCACTTTGTATTCTTCTTAATTTCTTTGAAACTAGCTTTAATTTGAGTTCATGGTGTCATCTGATGATTGGTCTGTGTTTTAATTGAAGAGGGATATACAAATCCATGAATTCTTGTGGTTTGATTTTATGAGATCAGCTTTTCAGCATTCACATTTTCTTTGATAACAATTCGGAGTAGAATTGCAATTTCACCTTCAATTCTTTTATCTCTTCCTTCTTCTGATTTCTTGTTGCAGGTCTGATAACTTGTCTGATAATCATTCAGTCGCTTCCTGCCGAAGAAAAGTAGAAAACAATGTGGTTTTAGGTTTCTTTTCTTGGTGGTTTATTTCTTAAGGTTTCCGATTTTAGTACTGCATATCAGCTTCTTCAGTTTTCATAAAATTAACCCACTTATAACTTCTTCAAAATACCCTATAAAATTTCTGGCCGTAATATTTACTTCTTGTCCTATATATATTCACTTCCTTCTTCAAAATACCCCATAAAATTTCTGGCCTTAAGATTTACTTCTTGTCCTATATATATTCACTTCTCCTCTATCATCTATTTCTCTTTTCGAAATCTTCTAATCTTTTAAAACAAATATTTTTGGGAATAAAGACAATGGAAATTACGTTCGTAAAAAATGGTGAAATTTCAACTTCCAAGATGATTGACAGGAAGAGACAATATTTTCACTGCATGAAAATTTGGCTAAATGATAATTCAACTAGAAATGGGAGCTATCTTATAGGAATGAAAGCATAAGTATTTTCTGTAAGTTCCCACCTATTAGTTCATTTTTCATCCTTAACCATATAGGGATAGATTTATATTTTATATAACAGCCAATGATCCTTAATTTCTTGATTTTTCTTTTATGCTTTTTGGGTCGATAAGTGAGCAGAGAGACATGACTATTGGGTTCTGGGTTACACGTGCACTGCTCTAAACTTAGCTCCTTTTCGAGAAATAACTATCACTTCCATATCAAATGGCAGCAACAAACTGCGGGATAAAGGTTACAGAAAAGAGTTTTGATCATCAAAGCTCTTTGTTTCTCTCTCTAGGAGTAAATGGATTGGAAAGGGACCTACAAACTGAGGGAAGTAATCAGTTTGTCCTCATTTACTAATTGTTCACTGCATTTGGACAATAGACAGTACTGTGTCTCCTCCACTCTTTCTCACGTGCTAGGTTTTTTTCATCACTGCTTAGGTTTCCTTCTTTTGCTAATGTAACATATATTCTGGATCTATAATGGTTAATCATGGTTTCTTGTCTTCCGAGTTATCTTTCAAAATCCTTCTTTTTTTTATTTTTTCCTTTTTATCTGATAATTCTTCTTCCAAATCGTAAGTACTCTGCATGATGTGCTTTGTATTGCACAGATTCTGAAATTAATGTTGCTTCATCGATCCATTCAAATCTACTGCAAAGTCCATCGCTGTAGGAGCCATTTTTTTAGGGAATTCTGAACAATCTTAATTAGGATTCTATCTTCTCTCAGCTTTAGTTTTAGAGAGAGAGAGAATGTTCTCATCGAGTATTTGTTTTCTATCAACTCTTATTTATTAGAATAATGTCCTCTAATAACAGTGGTATTAGAACATAAGTCCAAGTTCTCGTCAAAATAATATTTATATGTAAATCGAAAATTTTTCTTTCTTTTTCAACCATTCATTCTCCAAAAAAATATTAATCCACAATTTTTAATTTGAAAAAATGGGGGGCCAAATGGGGGCTCAATATTGTGATTGACTAAATTAAAAGGAAAATGCTCTTCATACAGAGCATTTCCTAGCGGGGTAAGACCCCTCATTGTAGGGGTCGGTCCCATGAAAAAAAAAATTACATCGGGGCCCGCGATTGTGTGTTGTTTGACAGGGGTCTATTTTACAACCTTTGTACTTGCAGCATGCTCCAAATTAAAAGTTATGTAATTCATTGAAGTGTGCTTTTTATTTAATGTCAGTTACGTGCCACTTAAACAGTATTGTGATATTATTTGTGCTAAATAACATTACTCTATTTATTATGATTACAAAATGTGTCTGGATTTCTTCTCCATGTTTGAAAATTAGGACATATGTAATATGTAAAATCCACTTTTCTTTATTGTAATATTAGAAAAAACCTGCATTGTTCATGTCATAATTAGCAACTATCGTTATTTCTAGTGTCATACAACTATTACTTATCTCCATCAGAAATAATGAATAACATACTACGTCACAAATGATGTAGATCAATTAAATGTAGTAATAAGAAATTTAATTTATTGATTTTTTTCATTTTATGTCACATTATAGAGAGTCAATATGGGGTGGTTCTATGTATATTTTGTAAGGTCTTGTTTGATTTGAATTATAATAAAATTAAAATTTTAAGTTAAAGTCAACAATTAATTTATGATTATTTCACACAATTGAAAATAGTCACCTAAAATCTTTTGTATAATAGAAACCCACAATAAAATATATACAAGTTTTTAACAAGTTCAAAACAATCGGACCGTGTATATTAATCCATATTATGCTTTATATATTATGCAAATTATATTTAGATGTGACGGCTTGTGCTGCGAATAAGAAACATAACTCAAAACTAGTGGTGGCAATGGGCCAATCCTCGAGTCAACCCATCTACCCATGAGCTCGCAAACTCACGAGCCGGGCTGAGCCAAACCCACGAGCTCAAGATTTTTTAATATTTTCTTGACTTTTTGTTCACATTCTTTACGAGCCCATGACCCGAACTCGTAGTTCGTCCCAAAATGAGCCCGAACCGTCCGTGGGCCGAGCTTTGAGGAGTCAAGGAACTACTCGACCCTTTTGCCATCCCTATTGAGAACTGTGGTAATGGACTGAATTTGACATCAAAACAACTGAATTACACGTGAATATGAGGAGTCAAGGAACTACTCGACCCTTTTGCCATCCCTATTGAGAACTGTGGTAATGGACTGAATTTGACATCAAAACAACTGAATTACACGTGAATATGAGGAGTCAAGGAACTACTCGACCCTTTTGCCATCCCTATTGAGAACTGTGGTAATGGACTGAATTTGACATCAAAACAACTGAATTACACGTGAATATGAGGAGTCAAGGAACTACTCGACCCTTTTGCCATCCCTATTGAGAACTGTGGTAATGGACTGAATTTGACATCAAAACAACTGAATTACACGTGAATATTTAAATCGCTTGTAGTTAAGAAGTAAAAAAAAATTGCCTTCTAACGACTTATTTTCGAGTTTTGCTCAACCGAGCGTCAATTCAATCTATTCTAACATGTGGCAAGAATTATAATTTGATGAAGTTCAATAAAGAGTTCGAGCTTGATTCCTGAATTAAGGAATCTAGAAACAAAATTAAACAAGTTCATTATCTTCTTATATACAGAGCTCATGAATGGAACAGTAACTTTTACAAAATTGAAGCTGAAGCAACCGTATATTGGGATTCTCCCACCAAAAGATAAGAATATTTAATGCAGGAACTGATAATCGAATAAAGATTAAAGTACATAATTTATCGCACGGCCCTCTTGTATAGCAGAAGCTATACCTCTTTGGAGCCAGCATTTTTATAAGCTGTGGAGGACACTCCCAACAAATTCTATGGCTAGCAGTACATACAAACAAAAGTAAGGTAATAATTAAACCTCAATTCGCAAGCGACGCATTTCAGCTACAAAGGTTGAACTTGATGTCAAAGTTCGGCGAGCAAGTGCTTTAATGTCCTCACGAGAACAGTCACGTGAAATACGAACGAGCTCCCAGAGGGCTCCTCCACTAATCATGTCTCTTGCATTTACTTCTGGAAAACGACATGAGAGAAATTTTCAATTTGGATACCATATATCTATATATATATATATATATATATATATATATATATATTAGACCATTACCGTGCTGTGCCAAGTGACAGACTGCAAGTTCTACATGACGTCTGATAAGCGACGCTTCATTGTTAGCATTTTGTACAATCCATGGCAATGCACCGTCTTCTATCAAGAGAGATCGCCCAAGTTTTGAGCCTAATATTGCGCATTATCATGAGAACCATCATACAGAAATAATTCTTCACCTCGTTGATGATGTACATGCTAACAGATATTTCTCCCTTGCATTGTGCTCAAATTTCTGGAAACATGGTATCCTGCTAACTTGCTAAATGTTCTTTTTTAAAGAGAATTGTCGGGAAAAAACTTCTGTATTGGAATGCCAAATTTCATTGATAACACCATTTTTCAAAATGGAAAACAACCACTATATGTTATGATGCAATAAACAAATATATATTATGCCCTTGTTTGAGCCACATTATATTCCTAAGAATGCATTTTTGAATAGTGTATTGATGGGAAATGTGTGGTTAAAAAATAAAAAAAAAGTTTTGGATTTGCGTATACTATTATTTTATTGAAGAATGTGTGGTTAAAATAATGTCAAATCACTGTTTTAAGAATTTTTTTAATTTTTTATTCTTATTATTATTTTGTAAATGTGGCTCAAACATAGCCTATATGTTTATTCAAGAAAAATCAACACCTGGACAGGCATTCTAAATAACTTACCTTGAGAAGATGCCCTGGAATCACACTTGGCAAAATTTGCAATACCACGTGCAACTTGAGAGAGAACGTCAGGATGTCTACATCTTACCATTCCTAACAGAGCTTTGATGCCACCTTCAGATCTCAGCCTCATTTGTAGTTTATCTGCAATGCCATGGCTAAAAAGACTTGAGGATTGAGGAAAAAAGGCTATAGATATATTGAGAGGCGAACTACAAAATCAAATAATCATACCATTGCCACACAGATTAGCTAAGGCTCCAGCAACCATTCGAAGAGTCTGTGGATCCTCAGCATCGGAAGCTGTCATTGCTAATAGACAAATTCCACCTTGAGCCATTATAAGTTCTTGATTGGCCTCTGAATAAGCAGAAAAGATATTGTTCTAAAAATGACGTAGCTCCAAATAGTACATCATTTAGTTGAAATGGGCACCCTTACCCAGCCAAAAAGGTGAAACAGGTAAAAATGAAGTTAGAAAGTAAAGTACGAACAAATTACCATTCATTGCCAGATTGGCAATTGCACCAGCTGCAATCCTGCTAATAGTTTCATCCTCATAGCTTCTAAGAAGCATC